CTGAGACAATGCGAACTAGAACCCCAGCACCAGGGAGCCGCAGGGACAGAAGGAGGTTTCAAAGTACAAATGCGTGTGAGGGCCGGGGCCAGGCGTGGAGGGGGGGAGAGAGGAGTTGAGAGCCGGCCCGGATCCCGAGCTCGGCCAGGGCCCAGGTGGCCTCAGGGATAACTGGGCAGGTGTCACCCATCCAGCCCCCCAGCCCTGCCTCACCTTGGCCGCCACAGCCTCGATGTTGGCGGGAACGATGCACTCAAAGGTGTTGGGGTTCTTTTCTCGGGAGTAGATGATGGTCTCTGACTTCTGCTTTCTGAGGAACTCGTCCCTCGTGACAACATCTGCGGAGAGAGGGGCAGTCCTGAGGGAGGCACGCGGCGCTGTTGGGTCCAGTGTCCTGTCCAAACTGCCTCCCCCTTCTGGGCTGGACAGAGCTCCATGGCCCGATCCCCTTCTGGCCACATTTAAATAAACCCCACCTCCTACAACAGACTGTGATTGAGGACACTCCTCACGGCAGTTCACAGAATAGCTGGATAGTAAATACTCCTGGTTTGGCTTCTTAGCAGGAAGTTTCATTGGACAAAGTAGCTCAGGAACTGTGTTGTAATATTGATCACCAGCTGCCTATCATGAAGGGTTGGCTGCTCTACTCACCCATCCACCCACCCATCTACCCATCCACTCATCTATCAACCTACCCACCCATCTACCCATCCACCCATTTATCTATCCATCAATCCACCCACCCATCTACCCATCTGTCATCCACCCATCCATTATTCCATCTACCCACCACCCATCAATCCATCCACCTACCCATCTACCCATCCACTCATCTATTCATCCATCCACTCACCCTTCTATCCATTGGTCTGTCCACTGGTTCATTCACCCATCTTTCATTCAGCGCCTACCCTGTGCCAACCCTTGTTCTCAGATACAATTCTCACCTTACCACTGCACAATGTAACCAAAGGAAATTGGCATTCTCTTTTTAAAAAATAATTTCTTTTAAATTAGAAAAGTAACATATACTTATAAAATAGAAATACATAGACATATATGTATTTAAAGGACACACTCCAACCATTGTTAGGGAACTCTGTAGAACTGGAGAAGAAGGGGACTGAAGAAGGGGAATGAATGTTTTTCTTCATTCCCCTTCTCCAGTTCTACAGAGTTCCCTAACAATGGTTGGAGTGTGTCTTTTAAATTATTTTTATGCCTTTACAGACATACATACACTCACACACATGTGAATAGATGGGTGTGTGTATAGGATCATATAATGCATTGCTATTCTGAAACTTGCTTTTTTCACTAACAACCAGCCTTAAAAATTCTTTCCATGTCAGCACACACAGACCAAGCTCACCCTTCTAAATAGCTGCCATAATCTTTTTAACCAATCCTCTATTAATTGCTCATTATGTTGTTTCCAGCTTTCTTCTCTTATAAACAAGACTGCGATGAACATCCTCACAGCTTTTCTTCATGCGTGTTGTGGGGGGTGGAGTCAGACATGAACCTTCTTCCTATCTCAGGTATTTAAATACAACCGATTCCTGAATCCTGATGGATCAGAGAAGAAAGACTTTTACAAGGATGGGAAGCGACTGAAGAATTATAGCATGCCCTGGGGAGCAGGGCACAACCAGTGCCTGGGGAGGGGCTACGCCATCAGCAGCATCAAACAGTGAGTTTGGGGCCAGGGGGCTGGGGGAGGGGAGGTTCCTGCTCTGTCTGGTTGGTACACACCCTCCTCTCACGAGAGTGACTGAGAGGCTGATCCAGGAGAAGGGTTTAGGGTAGAGGCTTCAAATGGACAGTCCATGAGCCATGTCCTGACCACAAATCTATTTATTTGTGTTTTTAAAAATGTGTGCTAACTTTTAAGAATCAGAACAGATCATGTTAAAGAATAAAAACAGCCAGCTTTCTGATTTCTTTTGAAATAACCAGGCCTGGCAACAACAGGTTTTTCCCTCCAAGCCTAGTGTCCAAATACCAAACACCCACAATATCAAACACTGGACATTCTGTGCAGCTGACCATGGCTGGCTGGCTGCAGCTGCTCAGCTGCTCAGAACCTCTGGGCAGGACCTGACCAAGTGGCATCATGCCCTGTGGTTATTTTAATGCCTCATTCATTCTCTTTCCTCGACCCCAAGAGCCTTGGTCCCCGGATCACAAACAGGTTGGACCAGGCAGATGTCCCAATCCCTCTGTTCAGACCCTGTGTCATCGTAAGCTGGGTGACCTTCTGTGCCCGTTTCCTCAACTGTAAAATGGGGGTACTGGCATACTGCATCCCAGGGGTGCCGGGACAAAGGAATGGGATCTTTCTAAATACTTAACCCACTACCTGGCTCATTGTAGGCACTTAATACATGTTAGTTGTTATTGTAATTATTAATACCACTACTATTAATGTGCAGGCACCATGCTAAGTAAATGGACACATTGCATTAACCCCTTGGCCTCAGTTTTTTCCAGCAGTAAAATGGAGATTGTAGTACAGCCAGTTCTGCTCTAACGCTTCACGAGTGTTCCCCAAAATCACTGCATCGAGAGAAATCATACATTAAAAACCACAGGGAGTGTGGGTACAATGGGGCCAGCGCCCAACAGTCAAAAATGTCATCTGTGACACATTGAGGAAAAAGATAAGGACCTAGGAAAAAATGGGAGTACAGGTTGACACAGGTTAAATGGCTAAGAAATACCCAAGTGCTACAGTAAATACGGTGCTTTGCTCTTAAAACCACCTGAAGTTCACTGTGGAAGTGAACGATGGATGGGATTGCAGCTGTGAGCTACTGTGAAGCATGGAAGGAGGGTTATCTGAAATTGGACACCTGTATGAATGGTGTGGCACACACACACTTGCACACACATGCACACACTTGAACTGGGGTCAGTGGAGTGTGTGTGTGTGTGTGTGTGTTTTGTGAACTGCTTGGCTCAGCTCAGCTGGGTATAGGTTTTTGCATTCTCCTTGTGTTCCGCTCTGATAAAATTGCACATAAGCTAACATGAAATTTGCATTAAGCTTCACTCATGTCCTAATATATCAACATCACACTGGAACAAAGTCAGGTGTTCAAAACAAGTGTTAGAGCAGAACCTACTATAGCTCCTCTCTCTTAAAGCTTTTGGACAGATAAAGAGAGAATATTAGGACACTAAGTGTGTATTAGCACAAGTGTCTGGCACTTAGTGTTTCAATAAATTAGCTAATTTGTTATTTTTATCTCACTTAATCGTCATAACCCTGCTTGGTAGGTGTCAGTCTAACACTGAGGTCCGATCACTCGCCAGGTCATGCACCTGGTAAGTGGAGGTACCGGGATCCAAATCCAGGTGTGGGTACAGCACCCCCACCCTATATAAACACAGCCTCTAGCATCCTACAGCTTCGGAGCTGGAAGGGGAAACTGAGGCCTAGCATAGGAAAGAAATTTGAGGAGGGTCACATGCCCTTAAGAGGCAGAGCACAGTTCTGCTCCCAGCTCTCCCATCCAGAGCGTTGACTTCGCTCTACCCTCATCTTCCCTCTTTATTCATTCCGGAAGACTAAAGAATCCTTGCTGTGTGCTCAGTCCCGCATTGGGCACCTGGGTCTCAGTGGGGGGATGGTGGGAGACAGAGTAGGTGAAGATCCAGTTCTGACCCTTGCTGACATAGGTGGTGCTGAGTAAAAGAAGGCAGCCGGACAGGAAGCAGTTAACATCAGGCAGGGCTGCTACCGCGTTTAAGGCACACTGATTACATCATGTACATGCCTTGTGTACTTACTAGGACAGTTTTCCAGAAGATGGCAGTAAAGAGTGCTTGTTCTGGCAGAGTTGGTACATTTTGACAGTCTTCCCACAAACACAGTAAAGTGTCTCGAAGGAGGGGAACCTATTTCTAATCTCACAAAGGCAGCCTGTGCTTTAGCAGCAGCCTGACCAGGGCAGACAGTAAGGGTTCCAGGAGTTTGGGGGGTTGAGTATGGTTGGGGGTAATCAGGAAGAGTCAGTGTTCCTACTGATCAGGGGAAGCTGTACCAAACGACCCCCAGTCTCAGTGGCTGTGTCGACAAAGGCTTAGTTCCCACTCACACAAAGTCTGCTGTGGGTTTGGGGGTCTACTCCCCTCCATGCAGAGGCTCAGGCTCTTTCCGTCTCAACGCGAGGCCCACACAGCTGCCAGGCCCAAGGGAGAGCTGAGAGTCCAGCACTTGACCTGAAATGCTTTGGTGTGAAATTGACACACAGGTCACTCCTGCTCACAGCCTGTCAACCAGAACTGCTCCACGGGGCTGCCTACACAGGGTGGCACACATGTAGGAGCTCCTGGGCCACTGCACTCTGCTCTCTCTCTCTCCTTTTCTCACTTTTCCCAAAGTGAGAGTTGGGGTCAGACTCTAGAGGAAGCCATTGCTCTCCTGCCTTATTCCAAACAAGCCCCCAGTGCTCCCTCTCCTTCACGCCTTCAATGCCATCTCTCTGCAGATTCGTGTTCCTTGTGCTGACGCACTTTGACCTGGAGCTGGTCAACCCCAATGTGGAGATCCCCGAGTTTGACCTCAGCAGATACGGCTTCGGGCTGATGCAGCCGGAACATGACGTGCCCATCCGTTACTGCATCCGGCCGTGAGCAGACCAGGCTCCACATGCTCGCCCCCACCCAGCCCGCGCCCCAATCGCCCAACTTTCTGTGCCCACATCCGGCCTGGGTGCAGAGATTTGAACAGCCTACAGTGCCAGCTTTAGCACTTTGCTGCTTTTTTCCTGGAAGGCTAATCTGGGGGAGGGGGAAGAAAGGAAGCTGAGAGAAGGTTTAGTCCAAAATGAGATTCTTTCTGCTTCCGGCTCACCTTGCTCCTCTCGCCTTATGACACCCACAAAAGCTAGGGCAGACAGGGCAGGATAGGAGTCCTGATTGTTGTGCCCCCAACTCCTGGAGGGGCCACCGTCCAAGTCCTTTACAGTAGTGTGATTGAGGCCTTAACCACTTAAAGCAGATGCTGACCATAAAAAGGCCAGTTGGGACCTAGCAATGTGTCCCTTGAAATAAGCTGGTCCCCAAATTATTAATAAACTAGCTGAAGCCAAAGGAGTCTAACTTAAAGACCTGTTTCTGGTTCCCTCATCTCTCCATTCACATGGGTTCTTGAGAAAACGCAGGAGGGTTTCCCCAAAGCTGGTGCATCCAAAAGTCAGATCACAAGCACCCTCGAGACACTGGGTTCTGAGCCGGGGAGTGCACTGTTCTAGAGTTATGGGCTCCAGATGGGTTGAGCTCTGCCAGTGCTGAGACTCAAGTTGGGAATGAGAAAGACACAGGCCCCACAGGGTGGTCCTGATGGAAGGAAGAAGCCAGGGCTGGGCAAATTGGAACAAAAAGAAGAGGTTTTGGTTTCCTACATTCTAGCTCAAGCACCAGCTGTGGGCATGATCCAGTCTGCAGACCTGTTTTGTTTGGCCTACACTTAAAATAATAGTTTTCATATCATCTTTGGGAGAGTTGATTCAAAATGTCCAGCTTCTCTTGAAAACTTGGAAGATCTGGGCACACTCAGACCATATTCCCAAGAGCAGCCATGGGCCAGGGCTGAGAAGCAGCTGCCTCCCTTATCCAGGACATGTGTGCTCTGGCTCACCAGGGTTTCTGCGGGGTGGGATTTCTTCTTTCTGCTTCAACATTCTCAGTACCTCCTGGCCCATGAAGGCATTTGCATTTGAAAACCCTGTTCTAACTCTTGGAAGTGGTCTGTTAGGAGGTGGTGGGAACCTGCTAACTAGTTCTCAGACCAATGCTCCAGCTTCCTGCATGCACCACCATTTGAACAAACAGATCAATGATGAAAACTTGCCTTTGCATCAGTTTAGGGGGGATAAAACAGTTCAAAGAGAAAAATTGCCTAGAAACCTTTACTATGATGATAAATATTAATATTAGGGTCTGTTTATTCAGGACTCTCTAAATGCCTGTGAGAGGCACAGTGGACATAGTATTTCTATTTCTCACATCATCTCTGCAAAGAGGGGGTGGTTATGCCCTTTTTATAGGTGAGGAAATCAGAGAGGTGAAGCGACTGCCGGGTCATACAGCTCATAAGCTGGTAGAATTCAGCAAATAGACTTATTGTCCCAATAGCAAATGCTTTCCTTGGGCTCAAGAGGGTGGTGGAGGGACAGTTCTGTTTGGCATCAGAGCCAGAGGCACCCATGGATGGATGCATCTCATGAGATGCAGACACACATACACACGCAGAGCTGGGCCCCTTTAGCTTTAGCTGAAGGAGAAGAGAGGATCCGAGATCTCTGAATGTTTCAGGGGTTAGTCTCTTGGAGCAGCACTGGGGCTTGGGGGCTCCCCTGGCCGTCAGCCTCCGGGAGGCCCCAGGATTCCCAGACAGATACTGTGATTGGCAGGAGGCAGGATATCCCCAGGGAAACCCATCTTCACGCCTGGGTGACCCCCACTGCCTCCTGCTTCTTAACTCCGAAAGAAACCAGGCCTGGCAGCCTCCTGTGGGAGGCTGGAGCTGGTTTCCATGGCAACCCTCAGCTGCCTCATCCTGGCTGGGAAGGGAAGGGAGGGAAGAAGGCCAGCAGAAACAGCAGCAGGAAGGTCTCTGCGAGGATGCTACCCTGGGGTGCTGGGGGAAAGCCCTGATGGCTCCCCTCTTCCAAATCGGGGATGCTTTGTCACTGAGACTAGATTCTCACCTATGTTCAATTCCCTTTAAAGGTGGCACACCTCCTCGAGGCCACAGTCATTAGGAAGAGACAATTCTCCCACCAGGCAGCTCCAGCTGGTCCCAGAGATACTGAAGTACAGCTTAGCAGACAATGATTTAAGCCTTCCCTTGTTTTAATCTTTCATTTTCCTTTCTTCTTTTTAAAAAAAATATCAAGAAGAAGGAGAGATGAGTGGGTCAGCTCCTTTCTGTAGGTTAGGAAGGTACCCAGACATCACTGTATTTCTTCATACCGTGCTTTAGACGGGGGTGGGGAACCTTTTTTCTGCCAAGGGCCATTTGGATATTTATAACAGCATTCGCGGGCCATACAAAATTATCAACTTAAAAATTAGCTATGAAAAAAGCTCCTAGATTTATTGAATATTGAGCCTCACCTGCAGTTGCCTTGGCAGGGCCAGACCAGATGACACGGCCTGCGGGCCAGATGTTCCCCACCCTGCTTTAGAGTCACAAAATTATAGGACATATGTTAGAAACATTCTTAGGTTGACCTAATGAAGTGTTTTCTGATCATCATTTTTATTTGCTGTATTATATATTGTTGTTTATCAGATATTTTCCTTTAAACAGGCTCATTTTTTAAAAAACATAGTTGTTTGAAAAGGGAACTTTTTTTTTAATCGCTGCCGGTAATGGACAACATATATCACTCGTTGTCAAAAATAGAAAGTGACTGAGAAAGTAAATTTGCTGGGAAGGGGTCTCCATGCTGGTGTTGCTGAGGCTCAGAGCCTGAGATCTGTCACTTCTCCGCTACCTAATGAGACAAGCAAGTATTCAAGTGGCGTTAAAGCCAGGCCAGCACCACCCTGAGACTTTCTCCTTGACCATCACCAAGTGAAAAGGAGTGAGCTGCTCGCCACATGGGCACCTGTGCATTACACCTAGTCTGAGTGCCACCCAGCGTCTTTTACCACCCGTGGGCCACCTGTGGGTCCCGAGCACACTGAGCTGGTGACATCTCTCCCGCCCAATTCTCTAGATGGGAGTTGAAGTATCTTGCCAGAAGTCATTGATTTTGATGTGTTTTTTTAATAAACAATGTTTCGCGAGTAGCAATGATTGTTATGCCTTGCTGTTTAAATAAAGAGTTCTATTTTCATATAATATTGTTGAGTGGAAATGTGCTGAAGTGCATTAAACCATCCTTGATTGTGAAACTGTCTCTGAGTGTGATTCAGATTGAGATTTGGCTGTGTCCAGAATGGGAGAGTTAGCTTCTGGGAAGGGAGCACAGAGCACCTTAGAATCACGTCATACCTCCAGCTACCTCCAAGGCATGGGTTATCTCCACTTTTACAAGGGAAGAAACTGAGGGCCAGAGAAGTGAAGTGGCTTGCCCAGGATCACTTGGCTAATAAGTACTAGACGTGGAATTGAAGTGCAGGCCTCTGCCTCCTGAGACTGTGTTCAGGATCTTTCCATCACCAATCCCCCTGATGGCAGAGAGGGACAGGGTGCCCATAGAGGACTTTGGGGTGGAGGCTCACAACCCCAAAGCAAAGAGGTCTAAAAATTCACTGGATGTTCTCTGTCTTCCACTGTATGTAGGCATTTGTATAAATTAAAAAAAAAAAAAAAAAAAGGGGGGGGGGGGGGGGGGGGGGGGGGGGGGGGGG